CCCCTCTTGGTACAATTAAGTGTCCATGCTGATCCAGCGGTTTCCCCCTAAGCCACCATGATGGTTCCATGTGAAGGGGCGGAGCTTCCCTGGGGGGGGTATGAAGAATATTTTATAAATAATGAACAAGGGCTTCAGCCTCCGATTGGATGGACGTCGCGCTCTCTCCCCGGGACCCAAGAGCGCTGCGCCAGGTGACCGGATGACACCCAGCGGACCCGGCCATGGAGGGCTTGGATTGGCTAAGAGGGAAAGTGTCCGTTCATTGTATAGAGAGACGGGTGAACATGTATTTCCATTAAATGGACCCGACGCGTCTCCGAATAACGCTCTTCACCTTGAAGATGTTCCGATAATAACGAGAGCAGAGAAATGGCCTTTTCCGTGGCAGGAAGACGCCGCCGGGACGCCAAGTGTTCCAACAAAATCCTTTCCTGCCGACCGAGGACAGTTCTGTGACTTCTACATTGCGCAGCCCGCGCCAATCATATGTCATCCATATCGTGTGATGTCATCACCGGTTGCCAATCACCTTCCTCCAGAGACTCTCCGAGTTCAGTGTGTCCGTTGGTGGTGATGTCATCACCGGTTGCCAATCCCCTTCCTCCAGAGACTCTCTGAGTTCAGTGTGTCCGTTGGTGGTGATGTCATCACCGGTTGCCAATCCCCTTCCTCCAGAGACTCTCTGAGTTCAGTGTGTCCGTTGGTGGTGATGTCATCACCGGTTGCCAATCCCCTTCCTCCAGAGACTCTCTGAGTTCAGTGTGTCCGTTGGTGGTGATGTCATCACCGGCTGCGAATCCTGGAATTCGGTTACTTTGTTACACCGATTTGACTTTTTTTACATCGTTTTTTTCTGACGCTTTGAAGTGTAAAACTAAAGACGAGATTGGTCAGCAACGCTCTGCCGCTACATCAGTTCACTTCCAATTGGCTGGTAACGGACTGTAAGGCCGCCGCCCACTTCCTGTCTGACCTCGCAGAGCGCGGCTTATTATATAAGCTTGTCCCGGCGCTCTCTGGTCAGTGATTGGACGGCGGGGGTCTGAGCGCGCAGCATGACGGCCTCGGTTTGGTATTGAAGGCCGATCCCAGCCTGGCACTTTAATGAAGGGTGCGGTCACTGGCCAATCAGCTTCCACTCATCACATGACCGCATTTGTGTCACGTGCTCCCGCCCTGTGGGGGAGGGGCTTGTGATGTGACACAGAGACATTAATGCTTCCTACATATAAAATATTCACAGGCGT